TGCTGCGCACAAACAGAACCAAAACAACATAAATAGTCCAGGCCTGGTCCTTTCTCGTCCTTCACTGTCATCGCTCCTCCTTTTATCCTTCCGGAGCTCCTCCGTGGGACTCGAGACCGGGGAGTGGTGCAGGTGTCACCCATTATCAATTATTACACGGTACCCCCCAGGCCGGGGGGTACCCATGAGACTGCGCTCTACTCCCCCCCGGGGGCCCCATCATGGCGGCTGCAGCACCTGGGGGTATGGACAGACAATGCGAGAAAAAAGGAGACGGAAGGATGAGGAGAGACAAAGAGGGGACAGAGGAAAAGGAAAAAAAAAATTCCCAGTCCGGTTCCTGGACACACTGCCACTCGGCCCTCCACCAGCTGGGCGACCTCTTCCACGATGCCTGGCGGCTGCGCTGGATAGCCCTCAGTGGGCTGCTCGACACTCATCCGCCGCCCGGTGGCAGGATTCCCCCGTTCCCTGCTCGTCCCCATCATGGCAGACGGCAACGGGCTCTGGCCTCAGGCGAAACGACGTTGACTCCTCCGCTCCCTAACGGATGGCAGCCGTCCCTCCACAACCCAGGTGGCCAGCAGCGAGTTCGTCCGTCCCCCCGGCAACTCACTCCAGCCCACCCCCTTGAGCATCCATGGTGGCAGACTGCTCTGCCATGCTCGATGGCACAGCGGATTCACCACAGTAGTGAGGGATCCCTGGCAGTGTCACTCCTTCGTCCCGGGTTTCGGCACCAATGTAACAAAGTTCACAGCTCGGGGAAGAAGGAGGCGGGAACCGGTGAACATTTAACCACAATTTTAATAAGCAAACACTGAAAATAAACAAACACTGAAAATAGCGCGACAGCCCCTCACGGACGACTGCCGCGCACAAACAGAACCAAAACAACATAAATAATCCAGGCCTCTCTCGTCCATCACTGTCGTTACTCCTCCTTTTATCCTTCCAGAGCTCCTCCGTGGCCCTCGAGACCGGTGAGTGGCGCAGGTGTCACTCATTATCAATTACTCCCTCCCCACTCGTCACAATGATTATCTGTCTGCTAAATTACTACTATAAATATATATAAATATATAAATGATGTTGTCACATGTATGCCTTGCTTTCTGTGTATTTTTGGTTCTTTCCATTGTGACCTAGTTTTCCTGTGTTGCCCGATTATGTCATTCTGTTCACCTGTGTCTTGTTAATTATCTCATTAGTCCCAGTGTTTAAATACTCTTAGTTTCCTTCTAGTCGCTGTCTGTCTCGGTTTACATTTCATGTTTGGTTGATTTCTGTGTTCCTGTGGCTTTTGCATTAAAGTTTGTTCCTGAATGTTCTCCTTCGTCGTGCACTTTATTCCCAACAACCAAACCCATTACAGATGTCCTTTAGTATACAGTATTTTGAGTGATGAGTACTAGGCGGCTATGCTTAACTAAGTAAACTAAGACAAAACTACAATAGCCTATTTACAGATGAAACTGGCCTGCACTAATCCTGAATAGTAGTTTTCTTCTCTGCTACACCTGGGTGCTTCCACTCCATTCTCAAATCTCTCGCATTGATTACTCTGATCGAAACGAGCAGAAGCATAGCATTGCCAGTCAGAACTAAACGATTCATGATTTCTTAGAGATTTATTATCAAATGGCGAATTTAGAAATAATAGCTTTAGTACATTCGGCTGCCAATTATATAGTAATATAAAAAAAAGGGCAGTGGGCCAAATCGGCTGCCAGGCCACCAGGAATTCTCCCGGTTCTCCTGATGGCTAGTCCGCGCCTGGGTCCAGGAAAGTTTTGAAAACCACTGCATTTCAGAGACATGTTCTTAAATGTGACTCATAACAAATACTTGCATGCACGCACAGTTTTAAGGCAGCTTTAATTGCCTTTTTTTGGTAATTTCATGACTTAACTGGTGACATAACTATGACATTGCATGCTTGTAGTTTCCTTACGTGTTAATATGAAATGATAAATAGCGGGAGCCGCCAAATTTGTGTGTGTAATTGAAGACCATGTGCTACGAGCACAGTATAACGGCTGACAGGAAATTTCGTTTTTACTGACATATGGCCTGACCGAAGTTCACTGTTGTTCTATTGAAGCTCCCTTGTCACCTGTACTATTTCCGTGCTCATTAGCACCTGGTGCTGAGGCAAAGTTGGAGTGCGTGTCTGAAAAGTCTCCTATTTGATGTGGTCATAAAGACGTTCTGTGCAGGCACGTGCAGAGGGGGGTGCGGTGGGATCTTGAGCAGCTGCCCCTTTTCCCCTTAATGCCCACAGTGCCCTTTTGTCAAGGCAAATTGTTTTTTTTTGTAATTAAACGGCATTTTGTGAAGGCCTGCCCAATCTAACTATTAGTAAAATTAATGAATAATAATTTAGCCGTAAATAAAATTATCCACATGATGATGACCTTTCACCTGACGATCTCATCCGGGACGATCCCTCCCGTTCAGACACCTTTAATTTAGTGTACTACCAGGATGCCTTCATAACGTCCGAGGCTGCCGGTGAGTGAAGTTCTCAGCGGAGCGGTGTGCTTGTATAGGCCTACTTATATTATTAAATTATTATTATTTTACAAGAACAGCGTGAAGAGAGCATGCACAGCTGTTGTTTATATTGCTGTTTGTAGCCTGTGGAAGTAAAGTGGGGGACGAATTTACATTTCACTAAAATTAAATATTAAAAACGCAGCTAACGTTCTACACACAGCAATATAAACAAAGGTGCCTGTTCTCTTTCGTTCTTGCTGTTTGATTGGGAAACGTTTAAAGGGCGTCGAGGGGTCTTATCTTTATGTTATCTGACTAAAAACTAATACTTTGAACTTATATTATTACATTATTTATTTAAATGTAGAGTGCCTTAAAAATAATTATCACAAAACTGATAAAACAGGCGTATACTGATTTTCTCATCCTCCGATTTATACTTATCAATCCTGTTTGTATTATCATTATCATTCAAAAAATATATAAATTCAGAACAGGATTAGAATATAATTCTATTTTAAATAAGACAGAAATATTTTTTTTCTACAACAACAACAACAACAACAACAGTAGTGTTTACAAGAGCAAAACCACCATACCCTGTAAACTGAATAATAATAATAATAATAATAATAATAATAGATCTAATATAATTCCGTTTCTAATTCCAGAGTGATTAAGAGGTGCAAAGAAAAATTTCTTTAACTTTTAAACTTGGTCTAAAATGGTCTAAAATGGTCTTTTCTGTTCTGTGTTTCTTTTTCAAAACTGCGTCACAGCATTTTCTGCTTTCAATACAGAAGCATCCGTTTCGATACATGTCTCAGCAAGGAGCACAGCCCTATTAAAAGCTGTGCTCCATGTGCCCCTTTTATACTTTGAGCACCTGCCCCTCCAAAGGTCTCTGCACGGCCCTGGTTCTGTTTCTAAATAAACGCAATTCTTGTCAAGAAAAAAAGAGACAGAAGCAGCAGTTGTGAGTGGGGTGGCCCACACTAGCTCCTCCCCACATTAATTGCGTTAAATATTGTTCATGCATTAAACTGAAAAAATTAATCACATGAGTTATCGCATTAATTTTGACAGCACTACGTTTTAAATAAATTAATTCTTGATGAGCATAAGAAACAATAAAAAACTTTTTTAAAAATCGTACTGATCTTAAACTTTTGAACGGTAGTGTAACTCTTCCCTTGTGTTATGTTATTCATCATAACTACTTTCATCTTCATTAATGTGGACTGTGCAAAAATGACAAATCGTCTTTCATGCACAGGGAAAAAAAAAACTTTTATAAAAATAATTCATCTGGAAAGAGGGTATTATATTATTTTGTTTTTCTCACTTCACTAACATGCCAAAACTGATGCCATTGCTTACATATTTGCTAATGTTATGTATTATATGTTTATAGGTGGTCTATTTGACAGCTACCAAGATGAGTAGAAAAACACTGATAATTGCAGTGTTAAGTTTAGGTCTGTAAGTTCCTGATCATCCAAATTCTTTATTTCTCTTATTACTTATTTACATGTGAAAATTGCTCTAAAATTGCTCTGTACTTTGTTTTTTTAACAACAGTGTTTTGTAGCGCATCAGCTAATTCAGCAAACTCACCTACAACTGCAACAACTGAATCTATGACTGTTACATCATACTCAGATGCACAAACGACACAATTCTGCTTACAACTGACACAACAGCACATAGAATACTGCTCAACAACAACTGAAACTCTGTTTACAACCACTGCCAAACCGACACAAACACCTGAATCAACAAACTCACCTACAACTGCAACAACTGAATCTACGACTGTTAGAGAAAACACAGCTACAACTACATCTCAGCTTACAACTACAGCCCCTCCTACAGAAACAACAACACAATTTACATCTGCGCCAGAACCAACAACCACAACTGTTTTAACATCTACAACAGACCAATCAACTACATCTGAACAAAGCACAACAGCACAGACAGCAACAACATCCCTACCTACAACAATTACAGCTCAATCTACAACCCTGGTTACAACAAACTCACCTACAACTACATCTCAGCTTACAACTACAGCCCCTCCTACAGAAAAAACAACAGAACTTACATCTACGGCAGAACCAACAACCATAACTGTTTTAACATCTACAGCAGAACCAACAACCACAACTGTTTTAACATCTACAACAGAACAATCAACTACATCTGAACAAAGCACAAAATCCCTACCTACAACAAGTACAGCTCAATCTACGACCCTGGTTACAACAAACTCACCTACAACTGCAACTCTGCTAACAACTACAGGCCCTACTACAGAAACAACAACAACACAAATTACATCTACAGCTGAACCAACAAGCACAACTGTTTTAACATCTACAGATGAACCAACAACCACGACTGTTTTAACATCTACAGCAGAACAATCAACTACATCTGAACAAAGCACCACAACAGAGACAGCAACAACATCCCTACCTACAACAAATACAGTTCAATCTACAACCCTGGTTTCAACAAACTCACTTACAACTGCAACTCTGCTAACAACTACAGGCCCTACTACAGAAACAACAACAACACAACTTACATCTACAGCTGAACCAACAAGCACAACTGTTTTAACATCTACAGATGAACCAACAACCACGACTGTTTTAACATCTACAACAGAACAATCAACTACATCTGAACAAAGCACAACATCCCTACCTACAACAAGTACAGCTCAATCTACAACTCTGGTTACAACAAACTCACCTACAACTGCAACTCTGCTAACAACTACAGGCCCTCCTACAGAAACAACAACAACAGAACTTACATCTACAGCTGAACCAACAACCACAACTGTTTTAACACCTACAGCAGAACCAAGAAGCACTATTGCTTCAAAATCTACAACAGAACAGTCAACCACATCTGAACAAAGCACCACAACACAGACAGCAACAACATCCCTACCTACAACAAATACAGCTGAAGCTACAACTGTGGTTACAACAAACATTATTGTTACATCAAGTCCATTTACACAAACGACACAATTCTGCTCAAAAGTGACACAACAGCTGATACAATACTGCTCAGCAACAACTGAAACTCTGCTTACAACCACTGCCAAACCGAGACAAACACCTGAATCAACAAACTCACCTACAACTGCAACAACTGAATCTACGACTGTTAGAGAAAACACAGCTACAACTACATCTCAGCTTACAACTACAGCCCCTCCTACAGAAACAACAACACAATTTACATCTGCGCCAGAACCAACAACCACAACTGTTTTAACATCTACAGCTGAACCAACAACCACAACTGCTTCAACATCTACAAAAGAACAATCAACTACATCCGAACAAAGCACCACAACACAGACAGCAACAACATCCCTACCTACAACAAGTACAGTTCAATCTACAACCCTTTTTACAACAAACTTACCTACAACTACATCTCAGCTTACAACTACAGCCCCTCCTACAGAAACAACAACACAACTTACATCTTCGACTGAACCAACAACCACAACTGTTTTAACATCTACAACAGAACAATCAACTACATCTAAACAAAGCACCAGAACACAGACAGTAACAACATCCCTACCTACAAGTACAGTTCAATCTACAACCCTGGTTACAACAAACTCTCCTACAACTACATCTCAGCTTACAACTACAGCCCCACCTACAGAAACAACAACAACACAACTTACATCTACGGCGGAAACAACAACCACAACTGCTTCAACATCTACAACAGAACAATCAACTACATCTGAACAACGCACCGCAACACAGACAGCAACAACATCCGTACCTACAACAAATACAGCTCAGTCTACAACCCTGGTTACAACAAACTCTCCTACAACTACATCTCAGCTTACAACTACAGCCCTTCCTACAGAAACAACAACAACACAATTTACATCTACGGCTGAACCA